TCCTCCAGGACGCCTAATTACTTGCTCCAGGGAGAAGCGGCTAGGCTTTGGGAACTCCTGCGCGCCCTCCAAAATTGTTAATTATAATATTCAGCATTTCAAGTTATAGGTTTGAACATAAACAGAAACTATATCAGGCAGGTTTAATGCTGGTATAGTATAGAAGATATGATTCAGCGAGAGTGCTGCAGAGTTTACGGCAGGCTCAATAATAATTTGTGGTGTAATTATGGAATTGTAAACGATACCTATAGAGCCACAGTGGTGAATCCCCATGTGCACAATTACTGTTTACCCTTAGCATAATTTTCCCTATTCTTTTTAGAAAAAGACACACGACCCTCTTTCCAGGGATGATTTATGAACTTATAAAGGATCGTTTTCCAAAAAATGAAAACCCTGTATAGCGTAATGAAATTATCAAATAGAATTTTAATATAATAATTCCAAAGTAAAGTTAAGCATGATAATGTTTAATACAATAAAGTTTACTTTAAACTGTGAGTGGGCTAGACCACGAAACTTGCCTTCCTTCGCTGAACTCTCGGCGGACGATAACACTCAGCTTGGCGCATTTCGACAACTTTCTGCTCGATAAACAATTCGGAAAAAAAGCCAAAGGCGTGTCTGATTAGATTTTGGCCTCCTGAAGTTGGATCTAGTTTTAAATCAAAGTGGCATCTAAATTGTAAAAGATTGCATTTCAACAGTTTTTTTAGAGCGTATCTTGTCAATTATGATATATCCATTCAAGGTTTATTGCAAAAAAAGTCAAACATGGCTCAAAGCACTCCACTACATACGCTAAATAAGCCTCGTGTGTATATACCATCCTGATTGCTCAATTCGGATCTCCATTCATCAATCTTGCACGCATATAATATCTCGAAAACAAGCAAAAATCCCAAAGTAGAGAGGGATTGAAATCCCAAGAAAGAAAACCAACATGCTTATCCCAGGGTAACTTTAATCCTTTATCGATGCTCAAACCCGCAGTCATTTGACTGCTAAGCCATTTCAACTTAGTGACTGAAACACTTTCTTCTCAAACTATTGAATCCCTGCTAGAAATTAATTGTCACTAAAATACAAAAGTTGTCAACAGCATTACTATGTTTAGCAAGTGATTGACGTCAAACTTTTGCTCCAGGTCGTTCTTCTTACGTAAATGTGTTGGAGAATTTTGTATACGATTTGTATATGAATCAACCTGCGTCGAGAGACCAGTGAAAGATCAAGCAGAAAACAATAACAAGATATAAATGCATGTACGTAGGAAGATTTTACGGCCGTAGTGTCTCAAGGTAACCGTCCACGTCATATCAGTGTACGGTAGCCGTTGTAATGACATCATTTCAGATGAGAGTAACAATTAGGCTTATAAGCTTTGGTGTTGAGTTACGAGATTTGAAAGCGTGCGTACAGTTTTTTAAACATTCTGAAATTTGAAAAATAAAAATTTAAAAATTCTTTCATAAGTACGAAAGCACAATCCACTTTACACTTTCCTTGCTAATATCTTTGTCTTTACTGCATCCCTTTGGTTCAGTAAACTTTCGCATTACATATCCTTAATCTCCACATATTCAGATGAAAACGGCAGCACAGGTTGATAGCCGCCATATGCGAATGTTCTTCATACTTGTATGCCATATTCTACTGATAGTTTTGACGCTCTTATTCCTAAACTATGAGAAGTATATAGTGAGTTTTCTGGCTCCTCGATAAATTACCTTATAAAGAAGACTTCATTTAAGGAGATAGAGCAAAGGCGTCAAAAATTGGAAAGCACTATAAGTGATTTCGCACAGAGGGTTGTTGCAGCAGCACATGATCCTGATGCACAAGTTACTGTGGATGTGATGAGAAATTACGTAGAGGTAAGTTTCTCTAGAAAAGGT